GCAGTTGACATACCTTTCCAGCATACCCCCTCACTATGAAAGCCTGATGGTCAATCCATATAAATAATCTCGTCAAGATCACTGTGAAGAAATGTATTTTTTACATCCAACTGATGAAGAGGCCAAGAGAAATCCTCAACCAGAGAAATAATCATCGAACATTAGTCAATTTTACCACAGGGGTAAAGGTAACACCAAAATCCTGACCTAGTACCTGAGTAAAGCCCTTCGGCCACAAGCCTAGCCTTGTGACGATCAATAGTACCATTCACAAGAACTTTCAGGGTATAAAACCAGCGATAGTCAACAGGTTTCACCCCTGAAAGTAAAGAGACAAGATTTCATGTATGATTACGCTGAGGAGCGTTCATCTCTGTCTGCATGGCAAGGAACCCGCTGGGACTCTCGCATAGCCTCTGAAATAGAGCGAGGAACCGGCGTATCTGATAAGGCCATACTATAAGCTCGAAATGTAGGAGACAGATCATCATAGGAAACATAAGTAGAGATCGGATTATAAAATTCTAGCAGTCCAACCATAACGAACAACTGGACGACGATCATGCTACGGATAACGATGCCTTAAATCATCATCTTCCACTGACAATGCCTTATCAGGTAAAGCAACTCGCTCAGTACCTGCAATCTCATCAGTACTAACAATAGGTGCATCAATATGCTCAACGAACTGAGAAGTATTATTTGCATTGCCTGAGATAGAGGGGACATCAGCAGGGAGATTAGAGCGAGGGCAACGAACATAAACCTGTAAAGGAAGAGTGACTGGTCACTCTGTACTGATAGGGATGAGTGGCTTTGGAAGAGGAGAGATTGATGACTCGGTAGTGATAGGGACCAATGGCTCTAGCTTCGGTGGTAATAAAAAAATTAAAGGAAGTATCATCAACTGGAGGGGCAGACACAGGATTGGAAGAAAAATAAGGAATATGCTCAAAAAATATAACATTTAGACTGTGATACATACGACGTCTAATAAGATCATAACACCGATTCTCCTTAAACTGATGACAATAGCCCACAAAGACACAACGAATTACTTTATCATCAAGCTTATGACGAGTACGAGACCAATCCTGAACAAAACATGTGCATCCAAAAACATGAGGAGGGACTGAAAAAAGTGTCTGCTCAAGAAATAAGACCTGTAAGGGAGCTCTATGCTGAAGAACACGACTCGGCGTATGATTGTACAGAAAGGTAGAAGTTAAAATAATAAAATGTCAATAAGATTTTGGTACCTCCATGCCTCTAAGCATAGAACGTACCAACCCTATCAAACTCCTATTTTTTCTTTCAGCAACGCCATTTTGCTCAAGAGTATATGGACAAGTGAGTTGCTGAAGAATAACCTGAGAAGAAAGGTGAGACACTAAGACATCAAACATATTCTTTGGCATTATTCGAATGAAGAGCACGAACAATAACATCGAATTGTGTCTTAATCATCTGTAGAAACTGAGTAATTATAAGGAGTATATTGGACTTTCTATACAAAAGGTAGACCCAAGTACAACGGGGTATGGTCATCTATAAATGTCATATAGTATCGAGCACTATTAAAGCAGTAACAGAAAAGGGTCCCCAAATATCAGAGTGTATTAGGTCAAATGGTTTGGGTGACTGGTGTATGCAAAGAATATAATTGGTCCTAACATGTTTCAATAGAGAACATATAACAGATTCAAGTTTACCACCAACACAAGCATTGCTCAAAGCAGGAAACAACATACATAAATATTTAAAATTGTATGTCCGAAATGGTTATGCCACAATTGAACAGTTTGTGACAAAAAATCATAACAACAACTACTGGGTAAAATAATAGCATGTAAGCTAGAAACAAATAAAGACAAAGTAGGTGCAAGTGATGTAGGTGGAGGAACTGGTGAAGCTGGAGGTGGATTGCCTAGATAATACAATCCATCTTTCTCATGTCCCTTGATAATAATCCTCTTAGTACTCAGGTTCTGTAAATAACACGAATTAGATTAGAACACAATCGCACAGTGAAAATCTCTAGCTAACTGATGTACAGATATTAGATTCATGGCCAACTTTGGTGCATGAAAAATTGAACGTAATGTAAAGTCATCTGGGAGGCGAACTGTACCCCTACTAACAATAGGGGCATGTGTCTTATCTATTAACTGAACCTGTGTATGTAACTATTTATCAAAAGTGGTGAAGTGATGGGCCTCACCTGTCATGTGACTATTCGCACTCGAGTCCAGCATCCAAAGGAGAAACGGACTGGCATAAGCATGAAAGGCACGAGGTATACTTGTAGTGGTGGTAACAGCAGTAGTCGGACTTTGAGAAGTCAGAGCGGACATAAGTATATCCAATTGAGAAGTGATAGCATCCATATCACTCTACCAAGAAGGAGCAATAGCATGAGTAGCAGTAGTAGGTAGTGGTACCTCAGCAATAGTAGCAGTATGGCCGTGAGGAGGCTATTTAAGCTCTGGATGGAGCTTCCAGCAAGCAACCCGGAAATGTCCTGGTCAGCTACAATAATAACACTGACGAGAATCCCCCTGTCTGCGTTAATCTGGGGCACCCTGACGCCGCTGGTCTGAACGCTGCCCACCCCTGACTGAGGATCTTGAACGAGACCCTACAGCAGCTGCAAGGGTTATATGATCAGCCAAAGGAGTTAAGGCTGCAACTGGAACTGATGCAATACGGACACGGTGCTCATGCTGCTCAATCATTGCATACATCTCATAAAGAGAAGGAAGCGTCAACATCAACAGGATCTGGGAACGAGGTCCCTCAAACTTATCACGAAGCCTTATAAGAAACTTGTGAATCCTATCCTCCTACTCGCGAGTATGCAAGAATGTTGTTCCCTCGGGCTCTATCCTCGGAATAGCAACAAGAGGACGTAGAGTTTCATACTCAAGTCAGCGCTGGATCAAATAGCCATAATAATCCTGAACGGTCATATCTTCCTGTCGAGCATATGAGAGCTCTTGAGAAAGCTCATAAACACGTATTCCCCATCCTTACTGAGAATACATCTTTTGATAATGTGCTCCATAGCTTTGGTACAAAGTTATGAAAGTGATGAATCCGACAAACAGATGACTCCATTGAACCAAATAACCATTTAAGAATGACTCAGTTCTCAGAGAACCACGCAAAATATCCAGGGTCGGCATCAGCTGGATCTGGGTGAGATCCCGTCAGCCAACCAAGCTTCCCTACACGGCCTAGGAAAAGCTAAAATGAGTGAGACCACTCAGCGAAGTAACGACCATTCAACAACTGTGCTGTAACTTTCCGAGAGAACATGCCTGACAGTATTGGTAATGCAACTGTGCCAGTAGGTACTGTATATTGGTTAAACATAAAAAGGGAAATATCAATAGATGTCTCAACGGTAGAGGTCTGAAGTCCTACAGTAGTAGCTATATAAATAACGAATCTACTGCATCAAGAGCAGATCATCGGATAAGAGAATTCAACCCCTCTGTAAAAGGTCGAAAAAAGAAGGTAGTGGCGCAAAGAGATGACAACACTACGACAAAGAACGCGCACGAAGTTAAAACACGAAGCTACAGTCGAACATGGCAGCAGTGTGTTAGTTGGACTAATATGTTGGGCAGTGTAGTTTGAGTTTTGGTGTGGGCAGTTAGGTATTTTGGGTTTGGGTTTAAGGGATACTGGGTGGCTTTGGTGGGCTGATATATTGGTTTAATTTATTGGTCTGGGGTTTTGGGCTTTTGGGTTTGGTGGTCAGTCGGTGCTTTATTTATATTGGTTGGAATCTATTTGGGTTTGGTGGGATGTATTGGCTGGTTTGCTTTAGTTAGAAAGTATGATCTGGTTTGTGACGTTCTGGTATGTTCTGGTGGGCAGTCGGTGATATGGTTTGTGGCAGTTGGCACCGTTTGTGGTTTCAGTTTGTGATGTTTTGGTGGGCAGTCAGTGATGTATTGGGCAGTCGGTGATATGGTTTGTCGCAGTCGGTCCTTTGTGGTTTTTTTTTTAGTTTGTGGCAGTCGGCTGGTCGCTGGAGGGCTGGATGGCTGGGTTGGCTTTCTAATTTCTGCCGGTGGAGAGACTGTCGATGGTGGCAGTATGGAAGGTGATGAAGGCTAGGGTTAAGATTAGGATTAGGGTTAGAGATGAAAGTTAGGCTCTGATACCAACTTAAAATATGTAAAATGAGATACAAGCTAAGTGTAGAGTCCCGTATATATAGCCAATGAAAATTACAATAAGGATAAAAAGATAAAATTTAATAAACCCTAATAAACTAGGTTGTTATAACTCTAATAGTATTTATTGAATGTCTTATTACTTGTATGCAGAGATTCACACTAAAAAAATAAGTAGATTTTAAGATTAGTTTATATACTTAAGAGCTCACTCTACCTATTATCAATTGATTTTGAGTAAGATACTTGAACATAATGTCAAAGTTTAATCTTGGATAGACCTGTCAATCGTGTCAGATGAAATGGATTCATGTCGAATCTTAGCGGATTCGTGTCAAAAAATATTACACTCATAACCAATTCATTTATTAATTCATGTCTAATGAATTGTGGTATATGGAGTTCGTGTCGTGTATAAATTGTGTATAAACGGTATATAAACGAATTGAGTCATACATTTCTTGTGTTTGGTTTTATTCATGTCCGATTCGCTTATTAATTGTGTCATGTCGGGTTCACCTTTTTATGAAATGGGTAGTTTAAGTAAGACTCAAACCCTTTAATTTCTTGTTGTATTTGTGTCGTGTTAATTAATTGTGTCATATTTGACACCTCCAGTCGTCTTACGTAGTTGATGGGCTAAGTCTCCCACCCAGTTCAACCCGGCCACAAACCAACCTTAAATGCCAATTCATGTGCTGGTATATGGTCTTAGAACATACAAATTTATAAATTCCTTGAATTTTTTTTTTTTTTTTTGGTGTCAAATAATGTCCTATTTTCGGAACATCTTTCTAACTCTTACACGCACAGCTTCGCACGCAGCATTTTCAGAAAGATGCTTCTGCCATGACCAAGAAGATAAAGCTTCTTGAAGACCATAAAAGGTTCAGATCTTAGTTATGTGACCTAAGTTCATTCTCCTTTTAGCATTGCTTTCGAACTAACAATTGGTTGTTAAACTGTTAACTTCTAAAATTCACTGCAGAAACCTATTGGGAGATGATTTGGAGTCTTGTTCTATTGATGAGCTAGAAAAGATAGAAGATCAGCTGGCACAAAGTTTAACCGACATTAAGGCAAGAAAGGTATATTTATCTGAAAATGTACTAATATGATGAGTGTGAGTCTTAGTGTAACAGTAAAATTGCTTAATTATGACATGGGCGTCAAGGGCTCAAGTCGCAAAAACTTATTTTTATATAGAGTAAAGTTATGTATATCTGACTCTCACCAGTCCTTGCAGGAGCGTGAGACTCTCATATAATAGACTGTCTTTTTACCACATATAAGATGAAATTAACCAACAGTCTTAACATTTTTGTTTAATTAATATCAGAATCAGTTATTGAGGCAGAAGATTGAGAAGCTGAAGGAAGAGGTAAACTGTCATAGATACAGCACATGCATATGCAAAAACTCAAGCAAGTACATATGTTCCATATAGCTAATTTCTGTTACCTTTTCTTGACATAATTCAGGTGGAAATACTAGCCAAAGAAAATGCAGAATTAAAGAAGGTGGAGTATAAATTTCTCATTTTACGTCATACTATGTTTCTACAAACTCAATTTATTTGAGTCGACGATAGTTCTTGCATACGAAAATCTGAGGAGGTAGTTGATAACTCGTATCTGTATATTGTTTTACATATGACTAATGATTCCGAGTATACTTGATTCATCCAGATTGAAGTGCAACCACTGCCACCGTCAGTTATACGACCAGAGGTACACCGGAGGCGAATTTCCGACGTGGAGACGGAACTGTTTATTGGTCCACCATAAGGACGGAGTACTGCTCATTCGATGCTACAAAGTTGAGACTCCGGCTAAGGCTACACCACTTTCATGGTTGTACTATTAAAAATAGTAAGCTAGATTATACATTTTCGTGAGGGATCATGTACTATTAATTGTTGGAATTGTGTCATAAAAAAAGCTATACCTTCTTACTTTGAAACACTTTCGTCTGAAAAATGAATAGTATATTATAGGAAATTTGTACGTTTGTGTCAATTTCCCTTTGGATCATATTAATTTGAATTCTGACTCCAATGCAAACTATTTAACGAATTATGTTAGATATATTAAGACAAATTCCATCTATTTATTATTGTGTTATGTTTGGGTTGACCTGTGAGTTAAAATTTTAAAATTAAAACTCTATTATCTATCAACTAATCCAACACTTGCAAGAATTCATGTCAATACTTGATAAAACAATAAAAATCTAGCATCTTATTTATATAATACTAGTTAATTTTTCGTGCTTAAAGACACTGTGTGACATAAAAATAGTTAATTAAAAAAAATTAATTTGGTTAAATTCTTAAGTTCTTCAGCAGACACCTTAACAGTGGGGAAAATCAATAGAAACGAACCATTTTCTCCCCCCCCCCAAAAAAAAAAAAAAACAATGAACATGAACCAACGTTACCCCCACATTGCATTTGTAAAATTTGTGAAATTGTAAATATTTTATTTGACATGATGTTTGAGACTTTTCAATAATACAAATTTGACTTGAATTATTCATTAAGTTGTCTTCCTTTTTTTGAGCATGGATTGAGAGGTTTCGGTTAAATTGGTTGGTTTATTTTCAAAATATGTAATGCCAGTTTTTAAATATGACTATCTCACAGTATTGAATCGCTGTAAAGTTTGATTTGAATTTTTTTCAGAAAAATTTAGCCAAAATCTAATTAAATGGGATTGATGTCATTTTTATAGGTACCATCTCCAATTGTAATCTTCATATTGTATGATCCGTGTTCAATTTTCTATGTTACATGGCACCGTTAGGTGTGAGTTATTCTCAAATACATTTTTAAAAAAATCAAAAAAGAGGAGAGATTATAATTTATAGTTTGATGTATACATTCACTCACACCCATATTATTGATTATTTATGTTAATTGTTAATTAGTATAAAAAATTTATTTTATTTTATTTTTGAAATTTATTCCTTTACTTAATTACTGATCAAAACAAAGAAGAATGAGGAAAAGTGGTTGTTGTTAGGTTTGTTTAGAGCAACTCCAACGCCCTCGCCAACTACTGCCTCTGCACCATTTTAACAAGCAAAATTTCAAACCCCAGGCTCCAATGCCCTAGCTATCCAGCTCGCCAAATAGTTGAGGGCTATTCCTGCTAGCCAGGTCTGGTGAGGGTTACCAGCTCGCCAGTTGCTATCTTCCCTCCATTTCTGCACAACGACAAATTGGTTCCTTCCATTTCCTCCTTCATCCTAACCAGATCAGGTATTGAAGTTTCAAAGATGGGTTTCTAATCTTTGTTTTTTGTTTTCCATGATGTATTATAAGGTGTTTGGTTGCTGGGCAATCGAGATAAAATGAAAGAAAATTTTGGTTCTTTGTTTCTTCTCTGGTTTTTTCGGGAACCAAACAAAGGGCTTAAATTGAGTTGGTATTCTCATCTTCTGCTCAATTTTTTACTCAATCAAGTGCATTTCTGCTCAATTTTTTGAGATGTATTTCTTTTCATTATTCACAATATATTTGATGAATTGCCTCAATGAGATATGTTTGATAGAAAAGTGAAATTCCTAAAACTATTGCTCTATGCTTGCGTTTATTGTTTCTTGGTATATGATTTTCCGAGTATTGTGGTGATTTTTGATGTATTTAACTGGTTCATGAATAATTTTTTTCACATGATTTTTGCACATTATGATATTTGCAGTCAAATGATTCTGGTTAAGGTTCAGGCTTTTTCACATCCTAGAACAATCATTAGCAGTAAAGATTTTAGCTATTAATCAGATATTTTTTTTTTTTTGATATCGAAAACAAAGAAAACGTTCCTCTCATTTCCAGTGATTTGGTATCATGGTTTGTTGCTGGTTCGCAAATTTACCACTAAGCTGGCTTTAGTTTTTTGTTTCTTGAAAAAGCAATCTTTTTTCTTAAGATTTCTTCATGTTCTGTTCGATAAATCCACTATAGTACTTCGCATTATTTTAGAGTTAATCTCATTTTGCACCTCGAAAGATTGTTCGAATCTTAATTTGCACTCTCAAAGATTAAAAATCTCAATTTACACTCTCAAAAATAGAAATTTGTATCAATATGCACCCCCAAAGATCAAAAATCTCAATTTACACCCTCAAAGATAGAAATTTATATCAATGTGCACTCCAAAGATAAAAAATCTCAATTTGCACCCTCAAAGATAGAAATTTGTATCAATGTACACCTAAAACTAAATTGATAAATTATACCTAGATCCCCTCATACTTGTCACTTAATCATTTAGACCTCTTCACATTTAGAATACTACTCCTACATCTTATGACATTTGTGCACGTATAACACGTAACTCATTTTCATTGATATCTATTAATATAACCGTTAAAAAATATAATTTTATCCTAATAAAAAATTATAATTTTATATTACCATTTATTTTATGGGTTCAATATATTCTAAAGTTCAAAATCTAGTTTACCATTTGAATGTCTAATAAAATATAAATATTTATATAATGTTTTTCATATTACCCTTTATATAAATATCTACATTTTATTAGATATTCAAATAGTAAGCTTGATTTGCAACTTTAGAGTATATCGAATCCACAAAATAAAATGTAATATGAAATTATAATTTTTTATTAGGATAAAATCATATTTTTTAACGATTATATTAACAGATATCAACGAAAAGTGGTTATGTGTTACACATGCACAAACGTCGTGAGATGTAAAGGGAATATTCTAAATGTGAAGGAGTTCAAATGATTAAGTGACAAACATGAGTGGATCTAAGTATAATTTATCAATTTAATTTTAGGTGCACATTGATACAAATTTCTATCTTTGAGGGTACAAATTGAGATTTTTTATCTTTGGGGATGCACATTGATACAAATTTTTATCTTTGAGGGTGTAAATTGAGATTTTTTATCTTTGAGGGTACAAATTGAGATTTGAACAATCTTTTAGGGTACAAAATGAGATTAACCCTTTCTAATTTCTTTTCCACTTTCTTGATAAACCCTTTTCTCCTACTTACTTGGTTCTTTTTCTTTACTCCTTTCCTTTTCTGGTTTTCTTATGATTTCTTGTGTAATTGTTGTTTGATGGGTTCTTTGGATTCTGGGTTTGGTGACTGTTGTTTGATAAAATTTAAAATTTGATGATGTGGCATAATATATCATCATTATGGCGTTTGATAAAATTTAAAATTTGATGATGTGGCATGATACATCATCATTATGGCGTTTACGTGTTACACCACGTGACATTTTTGAATTATATTATTGAAAATTAGTTAAATTTAATTAAAATAGTTAGTTAAAATAGAAAGCGTGGTTAGAGTGCATTTTAAAAAGTAGGTAGATAAGATAGTGAATTTAATATTTAAATATATTTTGAGTAACTATTTTACTGAGTGTGGTTGAGATTCTTTTAGCCGAATGCCTCTTGGGCCAAAATGGGTCACGTGCAATCTTCATCAAATACCCATAATACCCCATAAAGAATGTCTTATTTACGGTGTTAAATTATTGAGAGTTTACATCTTATATTTTGTGAGTGTGATTTTGATAAAATAGGGTGGACAGCAAAGTTGAAAAAAAAATATTGAAGATGCAAGAAAGGTGCCAATAACAGTAATGGGCAGAAAAAGTAGAATTTCATAGGTGAATCTCAACCATTAGATCAAAATTTTGAAAATTTGGATAAATCTAAATCGCGAAAAGTAAAAATTATTTTGTTTATTTTTTAAAATTTGAATTGTCTTATACTTTATTATATAGACTAGTTATTGCCTGTGCCTAAAGGTATAAAATAATAAAAAATTGCCAGCAATAAACATATTTATATTCATTCTTAAAATCAAATCACAAACATAGAAAAGAGATAAACGAATTTATGCACCAATTGTAATGGGAGTGAGTGATGGTAGAAGTGGTGGGCAATAGTGGTAGTGGTGAAAGATGGTGATGGTGGATTTTGGGTGACGATAGTAGTAATTGTAGTCATGGGTGATGCAGGTAGTGGTGGGGCGACAGTGATTGTGATTGACAATACTGGTGGTGGTGGGACGATGACAATGGTAGTGGTGGGCGGTGACGATGGTGGTGGTGAGCGACAACCCGTACTTCTTGGCAACAGTGTGATGGTGATGACGAATGATGGTGGTGGTAGTAGTAGTGGTAGGTGTTTGTAGGGGGTGAGTGCCAGTGGGTGGCGATAATGGTAGGCGATGACGGGTGGTGGTGGGTTGTGGTAGTAGGTGATGGTGGACAACAATGGTGGTGGTGGGTGCTAACAGTGGACGGCAGTGGGTGCTAACAGTGGTAATGATAGTGGTAATAAATATAAGAATAAGATAATGATAATGGTTAATAGTGATGGTGGACAATGGTTGTTAATGGTGGTGGTGGACGACGGTGGTAGCAATCGATGGTGGGTGGTGGTGGTAGGGGTAGTTGTGGCGGTGGCGGTGGCGGGGTGATTCCAAACATATATTTTTTTAAAAATACTTGTGAGAAATTATAAATTTCAGAAACACTTTTAAAAAGTTATTCCAAACACACCCTTAGAGATCTATTTTTCTTTATTAAATTTAGATGTTATTATTAGTCATTAGATTAACTTTAAAGTAAAATTTAAAGAGATCTCAACCGCGAAAAATAAAAGTTATTTTTTTAATTTTTTGAGATTTGAATTGCATTATATTTTATTATATAAATATAATCATGTTTTCAAATATTTAATAAAACTTAAACAATTATATAATGAAATTAAGTCAAAGTTAAGA